TTTATCATGTGCAGCCACACACGAACTGCAAAAAACAAATCGACATGAACATTTGCCATGTCCATCAGAACACGGCGTGAAACCACCAGTAACCCACAAATGCGTTCAGACCTCAATTAAAAGATTTTTCCATGTCAATTCAAGTAGTGGGGTTCCATATAATACATAAAGTGGGCTGGTGGGGGGGGGGGGGGGCAATCGCGAGAACAGAACGCCATGTTTTTTTTGTGGCTCCAAGGCAACTTGTCTATCCCGACATTACTAGGTTTATAGCCTTCGCAAATCATATTTTAAATCCAAGATTATTCATAAGCCTAAAAGGAAAGAGAAAAAAACATCTTCTCGTAGATTGGTGTTGGAATACTCGTTTCTGAAAAAAAAGAAAAAGCTATGCTAATACCAATGTTTTTAAGAAACGATGAGGTAGTAATCACCCATGGTAAAGATGGCCCTTGGAGAACAGACTACGCTCATCGATTTCCGGGAACGTTGATGTTAGATTTTCAAATTGGCTTCGATTCTGTAAAACGTATTTTTTCCACCCCTAAGAATTATCAACAGCCTGAACAATTGCACCGTCTGCGCCTTGATCCAGCCCATCCAGCGTAGCCATATCCTCCTTGTCGAGTTCAAAATCGTATATATCAGCGTTGCCGACAATCCTCGAAGGATTGTCACTCTTGGGCAGCGGTACGAATCCCTTTTGCAGACTCCATCGGATGAGGATTTGGTTGGGTTCCTTGTTGTGTTTCTTCGCGATGGTGGCAAGTGTCGGGTCGTTTGCCTTTTCGTTGCGGACAATGGGGCAGTAGGCTTCGACTATGACGTTTCGTTTTTTGCAGTATTCGACGACTTCGCGCTGCTGGCACCAGGGGTGGAGCTGGTGTAGTTGGTCAGGTATGTGGGTAGTTGAATCGAGGGGGTTTAATACAAACCTCGATTTGGTTTACAGCAGGAATAGCATCCTTGCTGTCAATGGTTGCAATCTCCTCAATGTGTCCGATGCCGTAGTTGCTGACGCCAATGTCTCGTACTTTTCCTGCCTCCTTGGCCTTCTTCAGTGCCAACCACATTGTCTTCCTTGCCTCTTTGCCTCCATTCGGGGTGTGGATGAGGAAAAGATCCGCATAGCCATCCTTCCCAGCAAGCTTCTCAACACTTTCGATAACCTTTTTGTACGTTGACTCGACATCTTCGCCAGGACTCATAATTTTGGACGTGACGTAGATGTCCTCGCGGGGAAGCCCACTTTCAGCCAATGCCTGTCCAACCTGCTCTTCGTTGGCGTAGTACTGCGCCGTGTCGATGTGTCGATAGCCTGCCTCAAAGGCTTTCTTGCAAGACTTGACGCATACATCCTTGGGTGACAGATAGACACCAAACCCGATTTTCGGAATTTTGTACTGCGAATTCGGCAGGTCGAAGGCCGAGTTGATATCGAGTGTGCTTGCCGACATGGTGGATAGCGGGGTAACAAAGGTGGAGGAATGCTTCAACAATGCTGCTACTGATGGGCAATTGCTAATGTTACGGAAGGCAATACGTGAAGTGCAGAAGATTCGAGGTAATAGGAGCATACCAGATCATTTAGATGAAGTAGAGAGCTAGTTGCGCCATCGGTCCTTTCCATGTAGCTCTAAGCGCCGCATAAAACAGCTTTCATCTCATTAGTCGTGATGTCACTCCATGCATTGCCCAATGCCTTATGGTGGGGCTCGCATTGGAGCGGGGTTGAGTGTGCATGATGAGCGTTTGCCAAACGGATCTATTGAAGGCATGGATTGCGCCTTGATAACTGATGTGAGGTAGTAAAGCCATTCGCACAACGGCGCCTGTTCTAGAGTAACATCCAGAGCTGTTCGCGCTAGGATCGCGGGTCCCTGCTAGCCGCCAGCACCTCTTTGCCCTACTCAAAACCTGCACCGGCTTGGACAAGTCCCAATTAACTATAATAAAGCGTATGTCTTATCACCGCATATCTCAATCTCTTCTGTTTGCGTATTGTAGCCAGCGCTCTTGCCTCTTGGTGGCTACTGCAGACTCGGAAAGATAGGCAAAACAAGCTATCAATCCTTACCAAACCACATTGTTCCTATACGGTATTTAAATGAGTAGACTGTTACAAGGACCAAAAAGCTCACTGGAGAGATTAAATCTTCAAAGAGAAGCATGTTTGAAGATATTGGACACAGCTACACATGGGATGAAATATGGAACGAAACAATGACCTGTTCGTTTAAAAGGAGGGTGATTGATTGTAGAGAGAGGAGAAGAATATGGAGTCATGATGCCGCGGCGACGAACCTGCTGCTCAAGATTCGATTCCCGATTACAGCACAGCTTCCACTCCTCCATAGGCCCTCTCCTTGCAGCCTGGATGCGACTGCCGCGTTCGCCTCCCATCATCCTTATCCTTGATCCGCGACTTAGTTGATCTTCTTAAGCTCGACCTCGCTGTAAAGAAGTTAACATCGTGCGCCAAGTACATACGTATAAGAGCAGTAACTTACAAGATAAGGTCAGAGTTAGGAGGGATCAGACCAGGGAATGACCTATTTACATGTCAGCATCTGTGGTTGTACGATTTTTCACATAGAGAGCACTCACTGGTTTCCGTAAGCAAAGTCGCTGGTGATGTCCAACCTGGCCTTCTCGCCAAGCTTCATTTGCACAACACCCTCATCCCAGCCTTTGATGACACGGCCAACACCGATCTGGGTCTGGAATGGACCGCGGCCAGTTGTGCTGTCAAACTGTTTGCCCTTGTCGGATTGGGCGTCCTTCAGCCAGCCCGTGTACTCCATGGTGACGGTGTCGCCCTTCTTAGGGGATGGGCCGTTGCCCTCTTGGATAATGGTCTTCTGGACACCCATTGCGCGTGCAGTTGATGTGAAAGCTCGAGTTGTGAGACGGTTAAAGGAAGAAACGTTGAAGATAGGTCTCATAAGTGGAGCGAGAGGAGAGGTGAAGGAAAGATAGTTGGCAGGAGTGAGCAAAGAGGGTACAGTGGAGGGGTAGCTTTAGTGGGGTGGTGGGGTGGGGTAGAGAGATCGTCAGTGCACAGCCTCGTGCATCATGCAAGGGCAAGTACGACGAGTATGACCAATTGATCGGGCACGTCTTTGCCTTTTCGAGGGCTTCAGGTGGATAAGCTGCATGTACGGATGATGGCGTGATCGTGACCAAGTGAAGGGATCCTGGATAGCTGACCTCATCAAGGAGCAGCGGCTGCCTCGGTGCCATGTGCTTGATGGACACAGCTCCTGGATGGATATCGTAGTTTTCAACTTGTATTTACAATTACAAAAAGTCCTTTTTAGTATACATTGACTGCTAGTTTGCCCTTCTCTGTTGACTAGTGCAGACTGGTAGCGTCTGGCTGTCTCGCAGACCATTGAGCTACCAGTTTAGACATCCATACTAGCTGACCAAGCTATGGGCTATAGTCGCCCATTTTTACCATCAAAATACCGTGCCCAGACGCCGTACTTATGCGGAGAGGAGATATTGTACAGCTATTCACATTCAAACTTCCGGTGTCATCAATTCATCCAAACCATGACTTGTTCTTTCTAGCCTCTTTCCTTGCAGCTTGCTATAGAAATATTAGCAACTGTTCGTCAATGTCGATATGAATGGTCGAGAGACGGTCGTAAAAGTGTATGTGGTGCGCAGCCGGCGGGGGTAACGTACCCATTGCTCCTTGCAATCCCGATATGCTCTGTTCAAATACGCGTCAGCATCATTTCCCATCAATTGAAACTGTTATAACTGTAGCCGAAGCTCCAGCATCTTTCTTCTTAAAAAATTCCGACTCACTGGAAAAAGTCCGAGCACATGGCCCTCTCTCCGCCATTCCTCTTCAAACACCGTATGCTTCTATCCGCCGCCTCCTGACATGGATCGTAATACTCGCTGAATGCTTTGCTGTAGTAAGAATACATCAGTTGCTTGTTCTTCTTCTCCACAATGTAGCTTCAGCTCGATCAACAGGGTGGCGTACTTGTCGAACTTGGCGGCTTTGTCACCGGACCATTCATTTGCTTTCGAGGGTGTGGGTTTCTCCGACATCTTGAGAATTTCCAGGATCTGCGCGATTCCGGATGTCCAAAGTCAATTGGGTGGAGAGTCGCTTGTACGTGTTGGGATGAATGGCGCGGAGACAAAGTCGGACGGCGGTCATTAGGAATGAGGCTGCGGAGGTATGTTATCGATAAGACGGTCTACCCCATGTGCATGCACGACAACGGGCACTACCCTGTCACACAGCGGGACCCAATCCGAGCGTCAAAGCATCTTAATTCAATGACTTCTGTTGATTTCTTCTTCTTTAATGTGTTTAGTGGGTCGTTGGTGTTGTGTACTCTGAGCCATCACGTGTACGCCAATTTTGGAGGCACCAGATAAAGCCCGGGCAACACGTTCATCACAGTGTTAGGCAAGCAGTAAAATATGATAGAGAGATAGAGATTGTGATTATAGCCGCCAAGTCTCCAGTCCACAGTATCGCCAGGGTTTGATCCAAGCGGATGCCTGGTATTTCGTGGGAAATATGGCTAGCATGGGCTGGCTCTGATCATCTTGGGCTGAGGACTGTGCGCCTCTTCGTATGACGACGAATGGCGATCTGAAGCTCGGCATTCAACAGAACTTATACATAAAAAACTGTGTATCCAACACTAACACTGTCTACCTCGTTTGGAGTTTTCTCAGGAAAGAAAAGCAACTATGTCTTGTCCATCTACTTACCGTAGAGTAGGTATGTCTCAACATCTAGTTGAGCTGCTCAACAAGATAGCTCGGCCTTGACTCGTCGCAGGATCAACCTTGCAGATCAAAACTTGTGACTGCAAGTTGCAAATCAAGGGCAAGTCACGGCCACTCGATTTCCATCGATCACGGTCCGGCAAAGTACTGTAGGTCGCCTTGCAGTATCGTCTGTAGTTGTTGGTCAGAGAAGAGACTGGGCTCCAAAAGGCACTGTGGATTGGGGTAATATTTTAGTAGTGCAGGCAGTAGCGAATTGCAGATTTATGCAGGGTTTGGGTGTGAGGTGCGCTGTGGGATAGGATAGTGAGGCCGAAGCAAATAGCAAGTACAACCGTCGCGCTCCTCGCAGCCATGGGTAGGAAGAAACGGGGCTCCAGGCCAAGGGACAGTGCCATTCGACAACGGTCGCACGCCCTCGGCGCTCTGTTGATAACTCTTTTGTTCTTTGGTCGGGGCCAAAACGGGACGCTGTCGAGGGCAACGTTACGAGTCGCGTGCCCACGTCATTGGTGTTGAGGACCCGTCACAGGCTGGGGCGGCCCAATAGGATAATGCCATGGTATGGAATTGATATAGCTCGAGGAAATGGTTGGTGGTGGTTGACGACGGGGATTCGGGGCTGGCGCTAAAGACGGAACGAGGTGAGGGTGGAAGTGAACGGCTGCTGCGGCAAATGGACGGGGAGCAAGGGCAGAGGTGACCGAGCGCCAGCATACCTCGACTAGCAGGCCCGCACTTGCATGCATAACCACTGCCAGCCATACTTCCTAGTCCTTCTCTACAAGGGCAAAGTCCCATGTGAGCAGATGCTCCATCTTAGCATCTCCCGGCTGCCCAAGTCCGTGAAAAGAGAGACCCATCGCCCGCCGCCATGGACAATCGAGCGTCGCCGACCCCGCCCACCGCTCGCCCCAAGAATTCGTCGTCGTCCATCACGTCGGCCACCACACCTTCACATACCGCCACACCCTCACAGTCGGCCGCCATGTCCTCGACTTCACGGGCTGGGCGCGGCGGCACTCCGACCGCCAGTCGCTCTGCCTCGAAGCTGGCCGACGCCGACCGGCCCACACGCGCCGCCAGCAAGGACAGCCTCAAGCAGAAGATGCTGATGAAGAAGGACGAGGCGCCCCAGCCGAGCAAAGCAGAAGAGGTGCGCTGCTCTGCCCACAAACACAACCCCACGACCGTCTGTACTAACGCCCGCCACAGCAACTCAAGGCCCTCAAGTCCGAGTTTGACGGCCTCCGCAACCACCTCACCTGCAAGATCTGCGACCGCCTGCTCTACCAGCCCTTCACAATATCGTGCGGGCACACGTACTGCTACACAGTAAGCAGACCCCTCGCTCCTCTGTGGCCGCCCATTGCTAACATGCACAGTGTCTCTGCACCTGGTTCGTCAGCAACAAGGCTCGCAAGACATGTCCCGACTGCCGCATCGTCGTCAAGGACCTGCCCGCCCCCGCCTATGTGGTGAGTCAAGTCCAGCCATGCATGCACATGGTGCGCCCTCTCTAACACTGCACTCCAGATACGGGACATGACAAGTCTCTTCATATCCCGTGCCGAGCTGCTCCCGCTAGGCGAGAGCCTCGAAGAACACAAAAAGTGGCAGAGCGACGAGGCCGACGCTGTGCAGCAGGACAAGGATAATGAGGACCCCCGCACTGGAGGTCTCTTCAAGGGCTGCTTCAGGCTCGCCCACCATCAACGAGGCCCGTCGCTGCAAGTCGTCCGTGATCAAGAAGACGGTGTTGACCGCTGTCCGGTCTGCACCTGGGAACTGGAAGATGGTGGCTGCACTCAATGTGGACTGGTGTTTGACGAGACGGGCGAAGTCTCATGGGGCGACAGCTTCACAGGTTTCAGTGACATGGACGAGATGTCAGAGCACGACACAGACATAGACGCCGAGATGGACTTTGAGAATGGTGAATATGACGACTACGACGACGGTATGGGAGATTGGGGTACATACCCTCCTGACGACTCAGTAATGATGCGCCGTTTCCTGGAGGCCGGAATACCACCTCACGCAGCCGCCTTTGCCCGACGCCGTCCAATCACACATAGCGAAGCTGGCAGTCGGCGCTCTTACACCCAAAGTATAGTATCAGACATTTACGGTGATGAGATGGACACAGTCGAAGAGGAAGACGAAGAAGGACTAGATGAAGATTCTTCTATGAACGACTTCATCGACGATAGTGGCGTCCAAGCAGCCAGCTCACCAAGCGACGCATCATCCACACCTGGTCCCATGCCTCAACCTTCCGGTAGCAGAGCACAAACAAATGCCAGAAGACGCCGCATCGTCGAGTCTGAAACGTCGTCCAACCGCTCAAGCGTCGTTGAAGAGGAAGAAGACGAGGACGAAGAAGATGCAGGGCCTATTCGTAGGGGAGTGAGGAATTCGGCTCAAACTCGTGCTCTACATAGGGCAAATGGTTCAAGATCCTCTCATGATAGGGCTTCGTCAGTAGCCACTGACGTCTCAAATGAGGAGGAGCTTGACGAAGACACTCAAGCCTTGCTGAGAGACGAGGGATGGATGCTGCAGCGGGATGAAGACGATGAAATGGGGGAAGAAGATGAAGATGACAGTGATGGAGGAAGAACGACCGTTGGGTGGGAACCGCTTGCGAACTCAAATGACAGAAGCCGAATGGGCGGTTCTCTAACACCTACTGCAGATCGTCCTCGGCCTAGTGCCCCGATCCGACCCCCTTCACGAACCGGCAATACTCGTGTCTTGAATGCCTCCCGTGGCTTGCGTCGAAGACCGTCTGTTCCTCCTAGCTCGGCAGCCCCTTATGAGGATGGTGAAGCAGACGACGATGACTCAGACCAAGATGGCGATATAGAGCTGGCCATGAATACCTTGCGAACACGCCGCTCACAAGCCCATATGCGAAGCGGGGCGGCCTTCTCAAATCCCACCGCCCGCTTCGTCAATCGTGGGGCTGCTCAAGTCGACGGGACAAACGAGGCAGATACTGATGACAACTCGGACACTTCGCAAGGGCATGCACGAGGAGCTCCTCGTGTACAGCGTCGGGAGTATGATCCGCGTATTAGTTGGATGTTTGCTGCGCATCAACAAGCTCTCCAACAGCATCAGATGGCAGGTGCATTGATCGATGTCGAGCCACGAGCCATTACCCCACTTTCTCGTCCCCGTACGAGGAACAGGAACCGACCAAGCCCGGCACAGGCATACTCTCCTTTCCTGCCCCCTGCGCGTCTGAGGACACCGTTGATGGACAACACTTCAAACCTTGCTATGGACCCTCGCATGCCAGTGTCGCCGCCTCGGAGAAGCGCCATGTCTCCGGGATTTCCAGCGATGGCACATAACGGTAATATGAGCCGGTTTGATCGTGCTTCTTCTCTTAGCTCGAATAACAATGCTTCTACCATGACTCCTGGTTCGTCCACTCCCACGTCTCAACATTCGATCGATAGCATAGCACAGACACAGGCTGCTGCGGCTATGGATATGATTGATCGTCCGCAAAGCCGTGTCGGTGCTCGCCCCTCTTCAGCGAATAGCCGGAGGAACTCTGGCAATTTTGCTGGCGTCAATTCCTTTCCTCACGCTGGTATGGGATTGCACGTTCAGGGTGCGGCTTTGCCACCCTTTGCCGCCCGAGGCAACCCTTGGGCTGCGTTCGTACAAGCACGTGGCGTGCGGAACCGCAATTCTCGCCAGCTTCTCCGAAATGAGTCTTCTGTCGCCACTTTGCGACCTGTGAATTCTCGTGTCAACGTTCGAGAAACCGGAGGGCAGCAACCAAGTGCGAGACCTCAGCCATCTCGTCTCAACCTCCGGCCTCAGCCTTCAAGACGTCAGATCAACGCTCAAGCCTCAACGCGTACTCTGCGTGCGAGTGAGCATGGTCGACCGCCTCCATCACCAACCCAAAATGTACAATCACCTGGCCAGCCTGCTGCTCGCCCAGCCCAATTGTCGCAGGATGAACGCAACATGCGAGCTCGAGAACTCATTGAGACAAGACGACAGGCACTCGGACAGCGTGAAAACAGCGTCCCTGCACGTACCAATCCATTCACGCAAGGCTTCCAGCGTCCAGCCAATCCTGCTGGTTCGCCTCAGATGCAACAGCCAACAACGGCACAACATATAAGGAGCAATTCTAATGAGTCGATCAATTCTACGGGCACGGTACAAGGCGGCTCCGCATCACCGGTGCTTGGCCGGCGTCGGAGCAACCGCAACTTGCATAACCCCTCCTCTCCCGGTCTCCATTCTCCGACGACACAAGGAACCTACACGGGTCCTGCACCAGCATACGCCAACAGCTACTACCGTCCTAGACAAGGCTCTGTGAACGGCGCACAAGCACCGTACGAGTCTACGTTAACCGCCAATACAAGGAACATGAGTCCCATGATGGCCGGTCCTCTTATTTAAAAAGGCACACTTCATTGTTGAAGAAGAGAAGAAAACATGATATTTTTCTTCTTTTGCTCTACCGGCGTTCGGGCAACAAAGATTGTACTTTCTTTTAGCATGTGGGGTGAGGGTGGGGGTTCACGGAGGTGCACTTACTCTCTCATGTATGAATGGATGAGACGGGAAACGAGATGAGATGAGATGAGATATGATCCAGACTTTTCTTTTCTTTTCTTTGCAATTGTGCTTTTTTCTCTCTCTCCATGTCTGCTTTGTTTTGTTTGAACGTTTGCTTTCCCCCTTGTTTAGCGGCATCATAATGCGGTCCTGTCTTCCAGCGAGTTTGTCCTTTTTTTGTTTGTCGTGTATGTCCAAAGCATTTCACTGGCGTCATTCCTTTTCTTTTCGTTTTGGCTGCGCAAAGGGAAAGGGGGGTACTATACCATGACTGCATTGTGAAGGATTGGAATTCTTGAGAGAGAGGAGAGTGGAGGAAGATGGAGCAAAGAAGGGGAACGATACGATACGATACGATACGAGAGCATCTTCCTATCAATATTCCAATTGTCTTTTTTTTTCCACCTTTGTATTTTCTTCATGTTTAATTCATGTAGTTTTGCATGTGTATGGAGTCGCAATGTGAGTAACTTTGATCGACCAAACTACAAATTTTGGGGCTTCTCTCTTTTTTTTTGCTACTGTAATGTGTTGGGGTAATTGTGCATATGAATGCGAACCATGGTAATGCTCCTATTATTTTTCCGTGCCCTTACAAGCTGCTTTGAGAAGAAAAAAGGCCGACATGATCGACGTGTTGCCACACCTGTACCCACACCATCCCACACTGATGACCACTTATCATGAGCTTATGTGAAACAATAAGTGGGACTGATTACGCGTGTTAGCACACCACCTTTGGACTGATCCTACGTATGTATGTACACCTGTAACTTAGATCATGTACTTTATACACCCATATAGTCATACCAATTGTAATTCCATGTGATACTTTAACTGTACTACACTGCGCTGATAATTTCCACAATTTCTGTAGATACTACAATGCTCCATACCGGGCGATATGCCTTGTTACCATGCGTGTCATATGTATGTCAACTCCAGAGTCCCTGCCGCACCAATGTATGTCACATGGTGTCAGCTTAACAATCTGGTTCCCATCTCCCAAAACCGGTACGCCCCGTCCCTACGCATGTGAAAGAAAACAGACATAAAGCAAAATATCGTAATAATAGTCAGTGCGCCTGGAAGATAGGTCGTGGGAGATGGGCCCGGTGGATAAGCCTCCTGAGATGAAGGCATGAAAATCATGACAGCTGAACCTAGCCATCTCAACAGCGTGAATAACGTTCAAATGACTGTAAGCGCCGAACTGGGGCTGCATGTTTATGTATAAAGAAGCGGCCGAAAGTATGTCGTGACCGGGGTCCAGCAAATTAGGGTTTCCTCCGAGTGTGCGTATTTGAAGGCTTCTTTGTATCAATTCAGAATAATTGCTAGAACCGTTTTGACCGCTCGTGAAAGGTGAGCGGTACGAAAGCTAGAAGCGAGTAGGATCTTGGGACATAAGATACTCGGTTACACAGATGGAAGAGTAGTGGTACAAGGTCGCGGATTCATTCTCACGTCTCATCTGTCAAGTAGATGGTCCTAGTGACGACAGAAGTTAGTCACTGCGCAGCTGTTAGAATCACCCCGGAGAACCTACCGGAGATATCGAAGGGCAAACGATTGTGCATAATCTAGTCCATGTAGAAGTCACCCTTGAGGATCCGCTCCTGCATGGCATCGGGAACCTTGGGCTTGGGCATTTCACGAACTGGAGGCTCCATGATTGTAACGCTCTTGGCACGGTGGTGCGTCGGGCCAGCCATACCCAGCGTCGAAGGGGGGCCGGAAATGGATCCCCGCTCGGCTCGTGATCGGAGGTTCTCAGCGAAATTGTAGCCCTCGCCTGTTGAAGACGACGTTAGCGAGTAGTTTCCAAGTACAGTCTCGGCATGTTCCGCAATAGTTGATGGCCAAATGTACGAAATGGATGTGGATCGCCGGGAGTGGGAATGGGTAAAGGGGCGGAGTAGTGAAGAGGATGAGGGCAATGACTGTGACAATGAAGACAGACCTCGACCTCGACCAGTCGGGGGAGAGGAAGCTTTATGGATGATGGGTGGTCTACCATTTGGGTTCCCAACGCCTCCGTTGCCCTGCCTGACGTCCCGCATTGCACGAGCTCCGAAGCTCAGCCGCCGAGCAAATGGTGTTGCTGGGTTGCTGCTGGCCGAAGGGCCGAAGTCGTCCTCGAAAGGACTCTCATCGACAGAACCAGAGTTGGCGCTAGAGATGCTCTCAGTGCGGGTCCGCGGGGTTTGGAGGAAGGGCGAGGTTTGGCCAGGCGAGGCTCCTAGACCAATCGTGGTCAGTGAGAGCCTTCGCCGCTGGGCGTTGGCAGCAGCTGTAGTAATGGGACCCGAGGACTGCTGTACACCAGATGGTATGCCTGCAATGCTGTTTGACCGACCAAACAGGTCATGGAATGTCTGGCTGGTGATTGAGGCCCGTCGACGAGGGTCTGGAGAGTGGAGGGGAGGGGAGTTCCGGTCGTTGGAAGACATTGTTGGAGAGGGCGACGCTGATCAGTTTGTGACGGTGTACGTATATGAGTGCGTGCGTATGTGGTCTATTAACAGCAGAGCGGAAATGGTATGGGTGGTTTGCAGAGTTGGAACAAAGAGTATAGAGAGGAAAGGCAAGGAGGGTGGGATGATTGATATGGCACTAGACGCACAGACAGGGTCCTCAGATTGTCGTACGTCAGCGGGGTCAATGGCGTGATAAGCGAATCACTCTCTGGCGGGGGAATCGCAACTGAAGCAAAGTAGTGTGACAGGAGACTAACAACAATAGGCAAAGATGAAGAGGTCGGAGAGGGAAGGGAAAGCAGGAATGATAGACAGGAGAGTAATATCGGAGGAGCAGTACACGTCTTAGCTGCGTTTCCCACAAGATAGTCTTTGCGCTAGTTCCGCAACAGGCTTAGCGCATCTCGTTTCCCCGCAGTGCTTGGACAGCCATGTGGATGGAGGGTGCAGTCGTCGCTCCCCACGACCAACCACGTCGGCAGGCAACTCGAGCCTAACCGCTGCTCCCCGCAGTAGAGCCCAGTCGGCCCACCCTCAGGTGTCCACAACGACTATCACGATCACCAAGCTTCATTTCCTAGCTAGCACAAGCTTCGTCTACGAGCCACCTTGCCACTTCACATGCTTGCTGTTGCTTACTTGTCCATGTATCCGCATCTCGTTCGGGCCATATATCATATCAGCCACCTGCACATAGCATTCGGGGTGCCATGCGCCTCCAGCTTCTCTTTTTTAGTCGTTTTTTTTTATTTTATTTTATTTGTTTTTTGCTCAATCCTTCGGCCCCTCCTGAAGGGTGAACGTGCATGAGCTCCCGCTCGTTATCTTGGGAAAGTCATGCGGTCAGTCTAAGTGGGCAGTTCCATGGTGACGGGGCGCGGCGAAATTTCTGGCGGAAGCATCCTTTCGGTCACTTACATCGCTTACTGCGGGGGGAGGGGCTGGCAACAAGGATCAGGCAGTCGGAATGAGTAGCTGGGGTGTATAAACTCCACATCTTGTTGTCAAGAGCCCTGCAACGTAGAAAGTATTGCACATTGCGGCACTGGCTAACGTATTGGCTTACTCCTTCTCACTACGAGTGTACAACAAAGAGAAATACGCTTGTGAAAGGGTGTGTACTCCTAGTGTGTACTACGACGTTAGCAAACCGGATTAGCCGGCGACTTACATATACCCATGACGAAGTAGGTCTACTACACATGGATGCGTCTCCAATGAACGGCTCTCATAGACGTCCAACACTGATTCTCCTGGCTTGCTCATCATCGAACGCTGGCCTCCCACATCCGGGCAGAGATAGTGCTTGAGTTGACAGTGCTCTACGATTTCTACAGGTGTATAGAGCTATCGGACACGGCGCCTTGCAGGGTGCTGTAATTCATCCTGCCGGCACTGCATAAACTTCAGCCTTCGTCTTGACCATGCATGACGCTCTGTCATGGGCTGCATCAGCTCCACATTGCGTGGCTCGGCGTTGTTGCAGAGATGGTTGTAGCCGGGCGAACACCTAACCCCCCGGAGCCGCTCTCGACGTCGCAGTTTGGCTCTGTAATAGTTGCGGGGCCTGGACTCAGCTGATGGTCATGGCCTAGACGGAACATGGCGTTGTTCGACAATAGTCGATACCGAGTTTCACACTTACATCACCAATACTCTGAGACGGCAAGGTTAAACTATCTGGCCAATCACTTGCTTCGTTTTGTCTTAACGAGGTTGTGATAAGAACGGGTTCCGCTAAATCGAGGCTAAATCTTATTTGCTCAAAATACATACACAAAGAGGGTAAGAAGTGAATTAAATCCCAAGAAGAGTGGCCGGATGAGCAGCCGAAAAGGTGTGTACTGGTGAGCATCCAGAAAGGGTTAAGGATAGAAGAGAAAGGAAGGAAAGGGAAGAGAAGATGAAAATAAAGGTTAAATCATTCGGCGGGTTCGCATGCCGAAGTCAGTTGGTCAGAAAGAGAGGGGGAGGGGAAGTGGGGAAAATGAGGTTGCAAAGACAGACCAAAGTCAGGCGACCCTCAGAAGAGAAAGGCAGTGCGATGAAACCGTCACTGCAAACGGCCATCAACTGGCAGGGAAAGACAAGAAGAAATTAGCTGAGCAAGAAAAGGGACAAGAAGAAAAGAATGGTAAAGGTGCGGGAAACGCAGAATACCGCCAACGCCATTACGCTGAAGAGAATGAAAAAAACGATGCGCCACTTCAAAAAAACCCCTACCAATGGTTCCTATCACCTGGGTCGTGAAAGTGGTTGATCAGACTGCAGCCATTACTGCATCGCCCTCTTCGGTTCTCGCTCACGAACCTCGGATCCAGGCCTCTTGCGGGGCTCGTAGACAATGTTGCGGAAAATATTGATGTACTGCAACGAGGCGCCATACTCAGTAAGCTTCTTCTCAATGTCCTGTAGGGTCTCCCAATGATTGCGATACACGTCCTCTTGCGGCAAAGACCCAAGGGCGTCGAGGACAAACGGCGAGTCACCGTCATCATAGGCTCCAATGAGCGCGACGTAGAGGTTGCTCTGATTGGGGTCAGAGGGAGCTTCCCACTCCCATGTGATGTTCTCATAAGCGTTCTCATTGCGGTCTGTGACGCGGTCGAGGATCTTGATCAAAGCTCCAGCTGCACGAACAGCTACGTCTTCAACCTGTGAGTGATTCTGATAAAAGTCTTCAATAGCACAGACTAGTGCCGTGAGCTTCTTTGCACAGCTGGGCACATCGAAACGGAGTGCATCCGGGAATGAATTCTTGGTCGGGCCCTTGGCAACGTACTCCTCCAACGCATTGAAGGTCGACTCAATACGGTTATCGACCTTCTCAAAGAAGACGCGACTTTCAAAATCTGGATCGATAATTCGACGCACCCGAAGATATAAGCTAGCGTCTCTGTTGGCATACTCGGTAATGAGGTCCGCCAAATCTTGGTACTTTTTTGAACGCTCAGATGTCAGTGGCGACTCGGGCCATTTGAACTCGCCAGGCAATTCTTCTTGAGGTGCAAAGCAAGAAAGCATGTCAGTGATCGCTTCCCTCATATCCTCGTCATCTTCAGGTACTTCGTCGTTTCGATAAACCCACTTCAGATCGTTGGCAATGTTCACTAGGCCTTTGGTGTCCAGTATATTATCCGGCTTTACATCTTCGATCTTGGAGCCGTCTGGTGAAAGATGAAGAGGTGTCTTGACCATATCGTCATAGGCGGTCGACATAATCTGGTCTCCAACCCAATAAATGTGCTTCGGTTCATGTTTAGTTTGGTGTTCAAAACAATGTTAATGAAGATGCATACCTTGCATGCAATACCAGTTTCGTTTGCACCACATGAACATCTCGGTCTCCGTAACTCTCCCCCTATGGCTACCGTGATATCATCGTCAAGATAGAAATACTTCTTAGGGCTTCCATCCGGACTTTCTTCATCCTCAGAGATGGCACAGTATTTCATTCGGATGTCTTTGCCCTCCAGTCCCTTTCTCGCTCTTCTACGCAGGTCGTTGTCGAAAGCCGAGACATTATACTGTAGATTCTTGGTGGATATAACAAGTGAAGGTGTAGGAGAAACAGTAGGCTCGACAGATGGTAGTGGCTGGTCTTGGTTGGAATGCTCTGATTTAGACGATTGTGAGTTGGCTCGCGCTGCCCTTGCAGCTCCGGCACGAGTGGTTACCATGTCCCCTCCTAGAGAGAGTTTTGAGAATTGCTCTGCTGACATGGAGTGTCTTCGTACTGGGGTGCTTCCATACTAAAAGCCCAGTTGATGGACTATATACCAACCCGGCATCCCCGGGCTCCACGCCACAACCTTAGCTGATCCATCGTGTAGGCAGAGAAGACGGTCCATCTCATGACGGCGCTTAACGAGGAGCACATCCGTGCCTCAGAGCGTTGAGACGTATGGAGCGGATGTGGCTTGCTCGGGCAGAGCCGAAGTTGAGGAGAAAAGATGTCGACGCCGCATTTCTGCCTGGCTTACTGGAGCGTCTGTGGTGGCATGGTGACGGACGTTTGCCACAAGTCTGCATACATTGGTCTCTTTGTTGCGTCAATTGTCTGTTTCCGGACAACATAACTTTCATAATATCCACTTTTTTTCACAGACAACACTGGCAATGCGCCAATGACGCCGCATCAAGAGGCGTACTGCCCAGGTCTGCTTGCTTCGAAGCGACGCAGCCCTTTCCCTATATGGTTAAATTAAGGGCGGCCGATGAGCGAGGGATTGCCTTGTCCAGACAATTATCTCGTTTTGCCGCCGTACCTTCATCTCACAAATGCCGCTAAATGGTCGGGCTCAGTTATCGCAGGCTGACTTGGAGTGATAATGCAAGGCACAATGTTCGAGCACCGCAGTGGGGGCGAGGCTCGTGATCCAACTTGCAGCAGGAACAACAAATTGATGCAAACGCGAATACGTACCGAGGGCCAGTATGCGAGGATGCTTGCTGTCTCGGATAATCAGCGTAGTGGTAAGCCAGGCAGCGAACTCTACCGGGTTTGCAGGCAGCGCTGATCTGGAATGGCAGAAAGCTGGGAACTGACGTAGGTAGGTCTAGCTTCTGCTCAGCCTCGCGGCACGACCGAACCCCTGCATCCATCAGTCGCTAGCTGAATCTCTGCCTGGTATAAGGCTGACTGAAGTGGGAGGAGTAATACGCATCTGGTCAAGCTTCTGACCACGTTAATGGATATATCATGCGCGCCGCAAGTCGACGACACCCACACCGCTGAGGGTGCCTTGGGTCGCACATTGCAGGCCTAGTTAGCTTGCAAGCTTCCACTCGAGCTGAGGTCGTCGCTCTGCATCCTATGGCCTTTGAATGATGTTTATTTTAGAAGAGAATTGGGGCTTAGCCATCGGACATACGCCGTCATGAGAAAATGGTGGTGCGGTTTACCAAGGATTAACTGGTCGATGTCCATCAGAGCGCGCTGACCATTCATACCTCAGGCTGTGACAGATCCACGAACTCCAACACACGACACATTCTATCACGTTTCGCACTTGGTCTTCAGCAACGTTTTTAATTAAAAGCGGCGGGGCAAACTTGCGCCTCTTGCATGAGAAAATCCAGAGTCGGCCATTCAGAGGTTTCGAGTAACCGCCGCGCGTGTGAGCGAAGCGGAACAGCCCCCCGAACAACAACAGTGATGACTGAGCAGTGATTGATGTGAGCCCCGAATTGAGACAAGCCCCCAAAACTGTTCGGTGTAGCAAGTGTGTTGGTGGAGAGGGAGTTGGCGATCTGCGGGCATTATCAAATGCTTTCAATACTTGGTAGTGACACCACGACACCCCCAAAAGCACCCATGACTGTGGCCTCGCGCTTACAGCGGGAAAAAAGCGGTGCCACAGAATACTAAGAGCTCCGGGTCCCTGAGTCCATGCCGTTGTTCCGGGTTGATCAGATCGATATGCGTTTGCCCTTTTGGCTTTAAAGGAAGGTTCGCCCTAAAAAGTCAGTGTACTTGAACACTGACCAAAATTGTGGTCATACCATATCATCACTTACTGCTATTGTCCTCGGCGGATGATGTATTGTGATGAGTAGAGCCGTTATTCACGTCTTTTTGTGAGCCTCGATGTCTTTGCTTTCCTTGTTCGACCATGTGTCTCATCGAAATGCCACCCCAGGGTAAACCAGAAAGGCTATGGTCGGTATCGATTTCTTCGGGCTTTGGTTGTGCGTATGAGGCTCCGGCTTTTCGTTGGTTCTCTTCCTCTCGTTCGGCCTCCTCCCTTTGCTCCCTTATTCTGTCACCTTCACTTCCTTTAGCTCAAGCATTCGAGGTTGGAGCATGTTACTAACGGAATCTTCTTTGAGCCAGTTTGTTTTGTATCTTTCGTCTCTCACTGCGGTCACTGACGTCGGACCAATCGTTCTTGTCAGTTTCTGATGTTTGCCCACTATGTGTAGACGATTGCTTGGTGGATGATACTGGCTGTTGCGGATTGACCCGCTGGTTATGATACACGTCCTCAGCACACATGAGTGGAGTGATACAGTATGACCCTAGGTTAGCCGAGTTGTTCGCAGCGATGGAACGTTTCTATTAAGCAGTATAGGTCTGTTTCGACGGTAAGTTTCAGTGTGCTCCTTCAATCCATCTATGCTTACAGTAGGAGCGTTGAAGTTCTACGCGTGAACCGAAGTTTCCTTTTACCAGAACTCCAGAATCAATCGTTATTGCCCTTGTTTGAGCCACAAGAATTGGTGATTAAAAAAGGACTGGATCAGTTTATGTTGGATGTTCAATGGTATGTTGAGCAGTCGGGTCTGGCGAGGTATCATTTGTTGCTCTCTAGAATGGGGGGCGCAGGATTAGTATTTATGCTATCGCTCGGTGCCGATACAACTACTTTTTAGGTGTAGGGTGGGGTTGGCGTTATAGTGTTTGAGGCGATACAAGACATCAGCATCCTTCGCTTGCTGTAAAGCTAGGGACGTTGACGGCTTTGGGAAATAGGGTAAGCTAGTGGAAAGTACTGTGTGCTTGAAAGGGGACGATCTGCGAGAAATGGCGGCAGACTTTAGAATCCAGCACTGTGGATAGCAAGCTGCTCGTCAGGTATTACGGAACAACTGCATGGACAGGGGTCGTCATCGTAGAAGCTGACCATGTCATTGCAGCCCGGCTTGTGCATCCGGCTAGTACGGGAACTGGGGAACATCGTACATGAAAGCCTGTGCTCGAATCCACAGTGGAATGACGATCGAGTTGATGAAAGGGTGCTATTGGTACGTCCGTACAAGATATTCAACGTGTAGCCAATCAGAAGAAGATATCCATCCAATACTGCATCATTACCGGTCGACGGGTGAATCGAATGACGCCTGAAGATACGCAGTGTCTCAGCCTCACGCTCCCTGGGGCCGAAATGGTGATTTTGCTCGTGTCTCTATATTGGCCCTAGCTGACTGTATGGTCAAAACTCAGCTCAGGGACGTCGTGACACAATAGAAGTAATTTCATTCATTCGCGGTGTTCCCATTTCTGAGATCACTTCAGAGTGTTGGCAGATCTGTGTGATAGGTGATGCAAGTGTCACTGATTTTGCAGGCGATGTGATTGCTGTGAAGTGATAATCGAGTGGAGTTGATGGCGAGAAAGACCGTCATAGGAGGCCGAAGGTAATTTGTTCGGTGCAAGGTCAGAGCAAGGCACAAGACCCTGTATGGAAGGAGCGAACGGTCGGCGATGAGTAGACATGATGGAAGCTGCGGTCGGAATCTGGCTCGCTAAGCCTAACAGGGACGGCTAGGCAGGTGTAATTTGGTCTGATTCGACCGTCTGTGGTAAATCACAAGGCTCAAGGGTTTCCTGACCGCCCTGGTCGCCATGCTACTGTGCATCGACCCACAGTGTGGACGTTTGCCTGCCGTTGTTGGAAAGGTGAGATGCGGTTGTGGTGAAGATGCCGTGTCTATTTTTTTCTGACACTGAGCTCGATATGTCTGGGCTGGCCGAAGGCGGCGTCTGCCGTGCCGTCAACGTGGCGGATCCTTTGGACTCACATGCACTGTTGACTGTTGACCGTACGGTTGGTCGGCATACACTTTCACAAGATGGTGTGATCACGTGTGCACCATAGTCCATGAACCAGAACACTGATGGTACATGTGCTGTGTACAGGTAGGAAAAAGTCGATTTGGCCATGGCATTGAGGGCATTAGATACTATAGCGGCACCAAGCGCACTCGGCTTTGCACCTGCTCAGTGGGGTTGAGTGTGGTATGGGCAGCCTGGACGCAGACGAGCGTGTACTTTGATAGCTGACCAGCCTGTGACGGGTGCACGCTCAATTTCACACGGGATGCAATCTGGGAAAAGGAATGTATGTCAAAATATAGTCCTACACATCTAGAAGACGGCAATGGGTAGGGTGGAGAAGACACGGCTCTGCTAAAAACCAATATTAATCTTCCACCGAGAGAAAATGTTGCTTCCAGGCCATAGAGAGCTGAACCTGGGAGCAGGCAATGGTGGCTTGACAGCATGGGCTGTGTAGGGCAGCAGCGCCTCGCCAAACGACAGACATGAATCGTTGGTGATGGGGAGCACGTGCTGCTCGCGGTACACGCAGCTGTTGTTTGGAGGGAGGGAGAAGAGACAGCAGCGGTTTTTTTGAGGTGGGAGAAAACCCATTGTGCTCGGACCAGGTGCTTTGTCATCCGTCTTGGCAGTGTGCCGTTGAAATTCTCACTGCAGCTCCGACTCGACTTTCCTTCTTTACACACAATCATACAAAATGGACGATTAATCAACGGCTATATCGAGCTTACAATCTCTATAGTTGTCATATTTGCGTCTTAGATGAACTCGGCACTTTTAGGCTTTTTGCATCCTTTTCAATGCTGCTTGAAGCCACCTGCGTGACCATACATACCTACATGCTTGAGCTCCCGTTAAGTAGAGTACAACATACTAGACGATACATGCACCTATCAAGAGGCATGTCGCGTGCCAGCCGCCTGGTCGACTTGACACAACCGACTGTCCATGTACATGCACATGTGCTGCTGGCCCAGAGGAGCGGGAGATGAGCATTGAGTCTGCAGGCGTGTCTGGTAATAATCCATCAGCAACTAACGGGCCTTTGCATTGCGTGTCGGCAGCGTCGGCGGCTTGGGAGAGGCGTAGGTACGAAGGCCGTGTCCAATGCCGCCGCCCACCAAGGCCTTGTCGCGTGGGCAAATCGTCCCTGTGCTGTCCGTAGCCGATCGTCTATTCGTGTGGCCATGACGACGCCTCTGGTGGAGTGTAGCAAAGCTCAGACAGGGGCGTGGTGCTGTATATAGCCCGAGCCGCCGAGACGCAGGGTTCTGGAGCTTTGCGGGATGCCATGTGTGTGTGTGTGAAGATGGAACAGATGGGCTACTCGTCATTGCGTTTGAACTAAGTGCCCCTTCACCATCTGCCCCTTCTCTACTCATGTCCACCTTTGCCATGGAAACGTCTTTTTTCGCATAGTCATCTTACCAACGCGCCACCTGCCGTCCCTCGAGCCCCCTTTCTCCCCGCGCATTGCTCCCGTGCACCTTCAACCGATCTCCCGACTCTACCTCCGACGCCCAACCGCTTCCTCTCTCGACACGACATGGCGTCTGCCCTGAACAAACGCCAGCAGGCGCGTAACGAGCGCACATTACAGGAACTCATCAAGTCTGTTCCTGGAAATGGAAACTGCGCAGACTGCGGCGCGCGCAATCCAGGTATGCAGTCCCCAGGCGCATCTCGTTCCACACATACACACACGCTAACAACGGCTACGCAGGATGGGCAAGCTGGAGCGTGAGTCTCCCACATTCCTTGGCCCGACACCCATCTCCCGACTACGAACCGGACGCTGACATGTGCTATAGCTGGGCATCTTCCTGTGCATGCGATGCGCAGCCTTGCATCGCAAGCTGGGCACGCACATCTCCAAAGTCAAGTCGTTGAGCATGGACAAGTGGGACAACGCCCAAGTTGATGTAAGAGACGCGACACGCAGTATGATTATCTGGGTGCTGATCAATGCTGTAGAACATGAAGCGCATCGGCAATGTCGAGTCTAACAAGACATACAACCCCCGTAACGTCAAGCCGCAAATACCCATCGACATCGACGAGGTAGACAGTGCTATGGAACGCTACATCAGGGCAAAGTACGAGCAGAGAATATACCTCAACGATTCACGGCCAGGCACACGACAAAACACGGGTAGCACGAGCTCAGAAGACCGACCGCCGCCATTACCACCGAAGCCAAGTGGTCGCTTTGGATTCGGGCTGCGTAAAGCCGCAACTTCGCCGCGCAACATAACACCTCCCATCTCCCCAGGCCTGGAAGAATTCCGACAAGATTTGTCCCCGCCCCGAGTAAACAAGCCTTCCCGCGTGTTTGGCTCAAATGTACATACATCCGGCGACGGCATGGACTCCAAATTAGCCACACTTCGGGACATGGGCTTTCCAGACGAAAAGCGCAACTCCACTGTATTAAAGGGTCTAAATGGGAACCTCGATCGAGCAGTCGAGGCTCTGATCCGACTGGGCGAACAAAATCCTGTCAAATCAAGAAGTACCACACCAACTCCGCCTACGAAGCCCGTGGCCAACGGCCTATCTTTCGACAATGCACCCGCCGCCTCATCGTCCACAAATCCCTTTGATGCTCTAGACGCACAAGCGCAAGCTCCTCAACAGCAGGCATTCTATGGAGGCGCTCAAGGACAGCAGTCATATCCTTCAAATTCCTACAATCCATTCTTATCGCAGGCATCCCAAGGTTACACCCAGCAGCAGGTCCCCCAGCAGCAGCAGCAGCAGCAACAACGACAGCAAAGCGTTGGATACATGCCAAATCCCTGGGAACAGCAGCAACAGCAGCAAAGTCTCGAGCAATCTTTCCAAGGTATGCAAGTCTCGAGCTTACAGCCTCAACAACAACCCCTGTTTCCAAACCGAACTGGCGGTTATGGACAATCACAAACCTCGTACGCTCAAACGAACCCATATCTCCAACCTTTCGCGCAACCCTCTATGCCACAGGTACCTGAGCAGTACAACTCCTTCATGGCACCACAGCAACCGCAGTACCAGTCCATGTCAAGCCCTTCAAGTCCAGGAAACCCCTTTCTAAAGTCGTCTCAAAGCCAAATATTCACACCGACCAATATCGCAAACTCGAATCCTTTCGGACAATCGCCCTTCCAGCAGCAGGCAGCACAGCCACAGACAGTTGCACCTCAGCAGCAAATGCCTAACCCATGGTCGCAACAGCAACAGCAACAGCAGCTACAACAACAACAAAGTCAAGTTTTGACTCAGCCAGCAAACCCTTGGCAAAGCCAATCTGGTTACCAAGCCCAGACCCCTGTTCAAAATTACCAGAACCAGCAGCAAAGCTTCCAGAATCAACAACAGTTGTACCAGCAACAAAGTTCCAACCCATTTGATAAGAACGCTTCGATTCTCTCCTTGTACAACCAACCACAAGCGACATCTCAGCAGCCAGCACAGCAACAAGTTCAACCAACAGGTGCACAGGCTCCGGTGCCAGCTGCACCAGTCACGCAAGCACCCGGCCAGTCAAACCCATTTGCTAGCATGTCTGCTGCGCCCCAAGGCCAAGCTTTGTCTGCTGCACAGACACCGGGCGTGAGACATGTTAGCAACGAGAGTGTGGATTTTGCTGGACTAATGGGTGGACGCCATTCGCCTGATGCCTTTTCTGGACTGAGCTCTAGCTTCCGACGTTGAACATGCCTGCTAGATTGTATGACATTGATGTACAGCTAAAGTAGCATGTTTTGTTCTAATTCTGGAGGAAAGTTAATATTGGATATATCGAACGAGTGTTTCGAGGTTGTGCTGGAAGGTTTTGGAAGACTGGCTTGTTGTATGATACCTGGTGGGTAAGAGCGGCGCCACATTACCTATGATCATAATTGCTATCTCATTGTAATTGAGTGTGTATGAGAATGTGGTTAGTTATGGATGCTACGTTTATGTGCTGTCTGTAACGTGGGCATCTTGGTAGCTGGGTAGTTGGGGACTACCGTGTCTTCTCTGTAGCCTTGTGTGCTGGACATTTGTTTCATATTTCTTGTTCGACTAGATCAGGCGAGTATTAATTGCACAAATTATATAATATGTACGGGTCTATTTTGGGGTGCAGTTACAAAGCGGTTGCTTCACGTGCAAACGTTGGTCAAGTTCGCGTCTACGTCATTGCTATCTGAACCCGCGTACCTGAATCTTGACTCCCACCATGCGCCACGTTACTACCTATCACTCCTTCATACCAAGCAATCTACCTAACGCCCCACTCGAAGTTACTCTGTACCTAAGTTCTAGACAGCCGTATCTTCAGATTTCGGTCGATCAAGCCCCTTTGCATCATGGGTGAGCTTCACAGCAGCCTAACGGGCAGGCCTTCAGCTAACACTCCACAGCATCTTCAGTAGACTACTGTAAGGCACTCACACGAATTCACACCATATTACTGCAATCTCACGCAACACCTCAGATAAAGTCCTTGAAATCGACGTCAAAGCCTCGCAACAGCAAATCCGCGATGCCTACAAAAAGTAAACCATTGCCTATACTACACTCACCTCTCAAGAAAACGTCCATTCTCTAACAAACCATGTGCACCTCACCAGAGCAGCACTAAAACACCACCCAGACCGCGTGCCCTCAGACTCACCGGAGCGCGCAAGCCGCACAAAGCGCTTCCAGCAAATCAACGACGCATACTACACACTCTCGGACGCCACGCGCCGCCGCGACTACGACGCCGCACGTACATACAACAGCTTCACAGGCACCACCGCAACGCCCGACCCGGAGTTTGATGAGGAGATACCTCACAATGCCAACGCCAACGCGGGTGCCGGTACAGGATTCGCTCAAGGCTTCCCTTGGTCCGCCTTCGGCTTTGGGTCCGCGCCAGCAGGCACAACGGAAGAATCGCACAACCGCTTCTCCGAAGAGCAGTTCGGCGGCATCTTTGAGGAGATGCTGCGCGAAGAGGGTATGGCGGACGCAGAGGCTCATCCTACAGGCAAGTTCTGGAGTCTAGTCGGTGGACTCAGCGGTGGCGCTATGGGATTCATTGTTGCCAATTTTCCCGGTATGGTTGCCGGGGCTGTCGCGGGAAATCGATTGGGCGCGGTTAGGGATGCCAAGGGCAAGAGTGTCTATGCGGTCTTTCAGGAGATGCCGCAGGCGGATAAGGCGAGGCTGCTGAGTAGTCTTGCCGCTAAGGTTTTTGCTAATGTGGTTTCTGCCTAAGGGGGAGATTACGAGGTTGGGCTTTTGGGGGAGGGTTTGGGCGCGAAATGGATGAGCTTAAGGTTATGATGATTACTAAATGATGACGATGGGATATCCTGGAGAAGGAGAAATGATTTCGAACCCTTTTATTCCATATTTGTTCTTAGGTTGGGTTTGGGATACGAATACGATATGACGTTTTGATACAATATGGCATCTTTGAACTTAGGGCAGGAAGTGACACCTTATGAGCAGCGTGGAAACCCGAAGAACGGAGTTGAATGATTTTGCAATTGCGGCCTCATGAAAGTAGTGATAAGGCTTAATAGCCTAACCTCTTCCACAAGGGAGGGGATATCTCTAAAGCCAAAAAATAAAAATTGGCACCAAAACAAATAAACAAGTAGAAAATTATGAATCTAGGATAGATCCAAACAAATACCAAAAAAAAACCCTTTCCAAATCGTTATCCATCATAAAGTCGTACACAACCCCACGTATATGTTATATCTCGCCATCTCTTTCACGTAGTCCCCCTTTTTTTCACCTCCTTCTTCTCATCTTGTCTCCTCCCCACCCTATCACCAGCAACATCTCTTTGACGACATAAATCCCCAAGCTCTTCATCCCGTTTCGGTGGATATATATAAAAAACTCTCTCTCAAAACGAGCCCATATCACCTCTAGACAAGCTGCCAACGACTCTGGCAATGGTAAAGATATTCTCCGCGGTTCCTAGATTGAAAGAAGAAAAAATTTGGTTAACCCTTCATCTCCTGCTGGAACAAGGTGTCGTCTGTTTAGACGAATTTAGACGCCATACTCGCCAGGGTTGCCAGACCGCCGATGCCGCCGGCGACCTTGTCCATATCCATGTTTTGCAGGCTGGCCATCATGCCGCCGCCGCCGTTGGCAGGGGCGTTTGTCGGGGGAGCGCCGCTCCGTCGCGAGGAGGACGAGGTATATGTGTCGCGGCCGTAGCCTTGGCTGCCGTAGTATCCGCCGGCGGTGCTACCGCGGTGTTGGGGCTGGTTGCCCATTTGGGGGAGGTTGACGCCGAATTGGCGGGCGAGCTTGTGCAGGACGCCGCCCGAGACGAGGGGCATGATGATCATGAAGAAGACCTTGTACGGGTGGCGCTGGGCGTAGCGCCAGATTTCGCGCAAAAAGTGCTGCAGCTTCTTGTACAGGTGCTGCATGTAGTTGTCGCGGGGCGAGCGCTTGTACCGCGATGTCGAGCTGTGGTGGCGCGACGACGACGAGTACGACGACGAGGCGTAGCCCGGACGGTATGACGACGAGCGCCGGTTGGGCGAGACGGAAAAGGGGTTCCAGCTGCTGCCCATGGTGGCGCGTGGATGCTTTGAATTGTTGGAGCCCGGGGTCAAGATCGGAGTTGAGGATGAGGATGAGGATGCAGGTGCAGGAAGAAGGAGGATTGGTTTTGGTCGGAGGCAAGCAGTGAGTGGCAAGGCGCCTTTTGTGGAGGCGGGACCTTGTTTAGTAGAGGCGTGGGCGCGGGCAACCGAAGGCGGGATGCGGTGCTGTAAAGTGTAATTGTCGGCCCAGCGCATTCAGGTGCAGTGGTGACCGATTGTAATGGGACGGATTGGCCCAGATGTGGCGATGCCTTTGTGAAACAACTGCAAGTATGACTGTTTTTTGATGTTGGTGGTTGTTGTTGTTGTCAGAGTTGCGGGTTGGCCAGCGCAAGATATTCACTAAAAGCCTTGGACAGCGCCCTTGTTTCAAAAGACAGTGGTAATGCCGGTGAAGAAAGTGGGTCTCTTTTGGGCTTCAATCAATCCTGTCGGTCTCTTTCTCTGTCGTCTGTACTGGTATTTTCTTCTTTGCCTCGTTTCTGTCGCCCAATCTGATGTCGGGCTCTTGGGCGGTCGGTTCGGCTCAGCTAGCTAGCCCCGTTTTTTTACGAGGCGAGCAGACAAGAAGAATCGGTGACAGCCCTATATGTATGTATCGTCGCCCGAACAAAGCTATGGCACCAGATGCGTGGCCGTGCACAGCGGGTGGAGAAATGAATGACTTGACAAGGACCACGTCAACACGGCAAAGGGACCATAAATACAGTCTTGTTCGCACGGTTGGGGTAACGAATTGGCTGGTCGAGAATGGCGGGTGACAGCTCGGGCTGGTGAAAGATATGCGCGCGAACTTGTGGAGCGGAGGAATGATCGTCGCAGACTCGCAGCACGCTTGGAGGGACTAACTGACCGCTCTTTGCTGACTTGGGGCCTCTTTGGCCTCACGTTACTATCCATCCCTGCAGGTACGTTGCCGCCCGGCACCCCCAACTGGGCCCGCTGGCGACTTGTGCCGAAGCCATTGTGCACATGCACGTGTGCGATGTTGTGCGTGAACCCTTATGCACGACCCGCTAGACAGCCAGTGTATGTAGTAGTATACGACAAAAAGACGCTGCCAGAGTGTCCGTCCCGCTTCCTTGTTTTCAACCAAGATGATGGAAAAAAATCTTCGCATGGTAGTGGAAAGAAGAAACGTCTTCGTTGTGCATTCTTTCCTTGTGTAGGCCCGCGCTCACCATCCCTGTGCCACGAATGGGTCAGAAATGCAAGACAGACGTTCGAGACCAACCGTTGCAGATGCAGCATACGCAACATGGTATTCAACAAGTCGTGCAGGGGTCTCGATCCAGCACATGGATGCGTTCTTGCATGCTGTCTTTGCCCTCTTGAGATGGCCCTGGTGCCGTTTGCACGCTCAAATCGGCTGACTGTTCGGGACAGCACACAGGTAGTGGAGAAAATTAAAAGATAGAGTTGCTTGGACACCACGAATACAATAGGGCCCACTACATACGTGGCTACGTCTGACTCCGGTCTGCTGTCATCCAACGCTCACCAAGATACTAGATAGTTGAATCCAACACGCCACATCGGGAAGCCATCGAGAATCAAGATTCGACTCGTGACGAGGTAGCAGCACACCATCACACTCTCAGCCTTTCTTCTTACTACTTTTACCTCCCTTGCGCCGTCGCTCACCTCCGTGACCACTGCCACTGTCTTTTGTCTTTCCTTGGACTTGCACAGCAGTCGCGGAGCCAGAAGGCTGCGTGCCCGGAGTTACTACATCGGTGCGTCCTTCTTGACTGACAACAACATCTGCCACTCGCCGTACTGGTACTGGTGCAGGAGCTAGAGGAGGAGCCGGGGGAACACGCCGTGGAACCGATGCATAGCTGGCCTCCGAAACCACCGAGCTAAGACTTCGAGTGTATTGCGGTTGAGGTGAAGTTGGCGATGAAGACGAAGTTGGACTAAAGTTGTGATACTGGTACGGCTCCACAGGGAATGGCACAAGGCGGGCAGACTGAATAGACGATGATCTGGTGTGGGCGTTGGTTGGCACATCAGCTTCGTAGGCTGCTTGTCGATATGATGTCTGATTGTCTGGCACCGGAGGCGATTCAGGCTGAAAGTCGTAAACCGATTCCGGAAATGAGCCTAGCATATTGATGGAAGGAGCGCGGTGCAGAGGCATGGGTACGTGGCGGCCATTATCAGACGCCGAACGGGATGCTGGATGCACAGGTCCTTGCCCACGGACCAGACTGCCTTCATATGCATTAATCGGTGCATAAGTAGGTTGTCCGTCTGGACCAGGCACAACGAAGCCGGGCGGCATTGCATGACTTTCTGTCGTGGATGCAGTCGACGTACGTTTGTGCGCACTCGGCCGCTTTTCCTTCTTGGACTTGGAGCCGAGCATCGACGTTCGCTGCTGGCTCTTCTTTGAACGCGACAAAGCATCATGCTTCCCAGTCGCATCGTAGCTCAAAACACTAGCGGTATCGTTGGGTGATGAAGCACTGCTAGGTCGAGGCTGCGGCTCGGGACGTACCGCAGGGGCTCGTGCACCATAGAGTCGTGATTGATATGCGTCGAGTTCTTCCGCACTGAGTGAAACATCTGTATTCCCTGCTGCCCGGGCTACGCGGATCTTGTCAAGTACCCGCCGAAAGAGCATCTCTTCCACTTCGGCCGGGTTGATCGTTTCGCCCGGTCCGCCAAAGTACTCTTCATGATAACCTCGATAACCATGCACAGGCCCGTGCGTAGAGTCCGCTAAAGCTGATGTCCTCCTTTCCCACGCTCTAATATCCATATCATTAAAGTATAGTTCATCTGGATCAATCTTCTTGCCATTCAAAGCCGGTTCAAACGCCCCGTCTATTGTAACACCGCCATTTTCGTCATCGCTTGACAATTCTTGAAATCTATGCACGTCGTCCACCCCCTCAAAGTATCTCCCCACACCCGACGAGCCCCCTGGTGGTCTTCCCCAGTGGGGCATAGTGTAAGGAGTTCGCGGCCGACCACCTAGACCGCCTCCTCGGAAAAAGCTGACTCGATTGGCTTGTCCATGAATGCGGCGTGGCCCACGACAGTCACGCCAGTTGCTCCAATGAGCCAGAGAACAGTGGTGAAGGGTGAGGCCCAGAGACCGAGAGGAATTGCAATGACAAACAGCGTGGTGTATAGTTGAGAAGTGGTTGCGCGCCAGCTGCCAAGTTCAAGATCATTGCCCTCAAGCTTGCCGATACCGTACATGCCTCCGACCACCAGACAGATAACAAAAAGGAGCATCAGGTTGGTGAGCAAGCTGTATATGCTGAGCATGACAAAGACGGCAGCATAGTTGCTTGAGAAGTAGCCCAGGTTGTAGTTGACTCTGCTCTGAACTTCGCCAAAGTTGGCGGGCTTGGACATGCGCTTGACATCGAAAAACTCGCTAATGGGTCGCAGATTGGCGAAGCGCGACGAGACCGACGTGGAGCGCAGGCTGTCAAAGCGACCGCCAAAGTTCATCCGCGAGGTTAGCGCATCGATGGGAATGCTGAAACGCGACATGGTGGAGGGTGTGTAGTTGGGAAGTGTGTGTGGAAGGTGGGTGGTGGTGGTGCGTGGAAACAGTCGTCGGGAGTGGAAAAAAGGCCTATTGCTGTGCTGGAAATCTACAGGCGAAACCGTGGTTAGCTGCTGGCGATATAGGAGGAGAAGAACGGGTTGGAGATGTGTCCTCAGTGCAGGGGGAGGAGGGGCAATTAATGTAGTAAACGGCTGCCTTACGGGATGAGAATTAGTCGTACGAGGCTTGGGAAGGTGACGCGGCGTGCGTAGAGGCCGAGGAAGAGAAGAGAGTGTGGTGTAGAAGGAAGTGGAATGGGTGTCGTCGCCGATATGGCAACTTTTGTTGGCTGTCCCTGCCCCTGCCGCGAATCCCGTGGCTCAGGGTCGTGCTGCCCTCACCCAAGCCACCGAGCGAGCCGTCAGCCCCCTTAGTCGGTTCTGAGATGGGCGGGTTTCATTGGAGCATGGAAGGCCACCTTGACTTTTGCGGAAATCTCAAGAGTAGTGCTAGCAAGTGAGCGCATATTTATCCCCTTGCAGCGAGCTGCAACGCCGCTGTCTCATTTATTACAGGCCTAGAGCCATTGGGCCACGTTCCCTTCTCCCAGCGGTCTCACCGCACGACTATTGAACATCTGCTCCCTATCACCTGCGAGCAGTTCCACCACAACCTCCCTCAGCCATGAGATCCCACGCGGTGCTTGCACTGGTGCTGTGCATCTTCGCTGCATTTGCCGCTGCCTGGACTAAAGAAGGTGTGTAAATTTCTAATTTTGTCAATCCAGCTGTGCCTTCGTTCAATTGCCTGCTTCGGGCCAGATTTGCGACGAGGCGCATGGGTGCAGCCAGTTGCAACAACCTATAAGCTATTTGCTGACAGCTGACGCCAGACCACGAAATCTTCCGCCTGCGTGACGAAGTCGCCAAAGTCGAGGGCCAAAATGTCACTTTTTACGATCTCCTCGGTGTCAAGCCTAACGCGTCGCAAGACCAATTGACCAAAGCCTTCCGCAAGAAGTCGCGCGACCTCCACCCTGACAAGGCTCGCCAGACATTTGTTGCCAACTATGCGAAAAAGAACAAGAAGAAGGGAACCTCTGTCGGCAAGCAGCCATCAAACAGGGAAATCGAGGCTCATGTGCAAAAGGTCACAGCCGCCTACCAGAGGCTGTCAGTCGTCGCCAAGATGCTTCAGGGCCCCGAACGCGAACGTTACGATCACTTCTTGAGGAACGGTTTCCCTGCATGGAAGGGCTCCGGCTACTACTACGACCGCTTCCGCCCTGGTCTTGGTTCTGTCATTGTTGGTCTTCTTACCGTCTTTGGTGGTGGATTCCACTACTTCGCCCTCGTCATGGGATGGAAGCGCCGCAGGGAGTTTGCTGAGAGGTATATCCGACAAGCACGCAAGACTGCGTGGGGCGACGAGAGTGGCCTCCAGGGTATTCCAGGCATCGACGACACTCCCCCCGCCGTCAATGCCCAGCAATTCGAAACTGACTCGCCTGACGACACCCCTGATGAGCAGATCCCCAGGAACCGTCGCGAGCGACGTGCCATGGAGAAGGACGCCCGCAAGCCCAAGAAGGTCCAAGCTGTGAGGAAGGCACGCACCGATGGCATCAGCGCTCCGGCCGAGCCAGAGGTTGTTTCCGGTCCCCAGGGAGCCAAGAAGCGCATCGTGGCTGAAAACGGCAAGATCCTCGTCGTCGACTCTGTCGGTAATGTCTTCTTGGAACACGAGACTGAGGATGGCCAAAAGGGTGAATTCCTGATTGACGTACGTGCACACCTCTCCCCTTGACTCAATCATGTATATGTAGACTAACGATATCCCAGCCCAACGAGGAACCCAAGCCCACCATCTACGATACTCTCCTCTTCAAGCTTCCCAAATTCGCCTACAACCAGTCCGTCGGACGTGTCTTGGGCAAGAAGGAACTCCTTGACGAGCCTCTCCTCAACTCATCTGACCTCCCCGAAGACGAAGCCGCCATTCAGAACGCCACGGCATCCAACCTCAACGGCGAGGCAAGGAAGCGCAAAGCTATGGCCAAGAGGGCAAGGTAATCACTTGCGTTTTCGCACATCAAATGCTGCTTTGCATGTGATGGGTTTCCAAAACATGTAGGGATCTACACGTGCATGATGGGTTGATAGACAAAAAAAGGGTGCGGCGCGTGTATAGGCATCTGGAATTTGGCAAAGTTGCATGTACAACATGAGTGATAGACTAGATAAACAATGTGTTTCGTAACTTGGTTTTTCCTCATGTACTCTGATCACTTTTTGTCCAACAATGTCAAACGTCTCTGCCCATTCTTCTTTCCAGTTCAATTACACATTTTCTTCCCTGGCCATCATGACTGTTCTCATTCTATTACTCACCATAATGCCAAGAAACGTAGTACAACCTCCCTGCCTCTTCCTCTCTTTCCTCCCACCGCCTCCAACGTCCCTCAACACAACTAGCCCACTCCTCAACCCCCCCCCCCCAACAGGAAAAACACAACCACTGCCCAAAGAATGCAGATGCATAATAATAAAAAGATATGAGTAAAAAAAGGCAATAATCCCATGTCTGCCTATTCGGCACCCCAGTCGGGTAACGGCTACAGTACCAACGACCCAACGATTACACTTTGTATGCATTACATCGGGGGGTGTAGTGTAACACAGCATATGCAGACTGGGATGGGGAATACCAAAAAGCAAACAGAGATGAAGAGAAGAGTTTTTTGAAAAAAAAAAAGAAACGAAGTAACAGATTGGTACAAGGTATCACAAACGGGGGAAGCGGGAGGGGGAAAGACGGGGGAAGGAACAGGGCCCCCTTCCAAGTCTAACCCCCTGGGGTAAAAAGAAAACACGATAATGGGGATGTGCACGCGCGATCAAAGTACGACGATAATAAGCGCCACCCCTCAACAAGGGTCAACGAAAAGGACAGGACACGGAACGGTGACAATGGTGGGTGTGTTTTCTTGCTCCCTTTTTCTTCCGAACTCTGCTTCTCACTCTTTTTAAACCCAACACACACGCCCCACACTCCGCACGCTCCGTTCCTTTTCTTTCTCTCTCTTTTTTCTTCTGTACTCTATCGAAGACGATAATACTCCCCCATTGACGATGCAGAGAAAGAAAACCAAGGCCTCAGTTGCTCCATGCGTGCCGCAGAGGCAAGACGGTACACGCTCGACGAACGGCGGGGCAACGCAGTGCTGCTGTCACTGGGCACACGCTGCTTCGTTGGCTGTTGCTCGAGATCCCTCTAGAATCGTTCGGTTCCGTTGTTGCCGTTAGTGCCGTGGTGTTCAAACAAGTCTTCGAGGTAGCCGCTGGGAGTGCGACCACCAGGGACATTTGTGCCTCCTGGTACGTTGAGGGATAGCTGGCTGGGGTTGTTGTCTTGGCCAAAGACACCGCTTCGTGTATTTCCCGGAGTGGTGAGTGTAGCAACGCTGCTGCGTTTGTACACCGAGAGGCCTTCTCTGGATGGAGGTGCACGTGGGTATCCTCCGCGAGAAGGCGGCAAGGAGGGCGATTCTGGAGGCGAAGTGCCAGATCTTGCGCTGAAGCGGTTTCCTGGTGTTGAAAGAGACAGTGCAGACAGGTTGTTGGAGTTTTGGCCGCCTACATGCATTTGGGGTGATCCGGAGGCAGGCGCTGAGTTGCCAGAGGCATAGTATCCAGCAGGAAGGTAGGCCGAAGAGCGGTTGACTACTGAATCCCGTATGCCAGCGGCGCCACCAGCAGTAGGAGAGAAGAAGAGAGAAGACACGGGCCTCTGGGATGAACTGGTGGGAGCACCCGCAAAAGGCTTTGCAGACTTGCCAATTGGTGCGGCATTTAAGCGATCCAGAGACATGGTAGAGTTTGCACCTACGACGTTGTACATCCCCCGCTTGTTAGGAGGCATGGCTCCCATGGACTTGACATCAGTCATGCTTTGGCTCAGTGCTGCACGCTTGACGGAGCGATGTAGCGACCAGGCAACAAGGCCACGCCATGCCATCAAAGCGGCGCCGAAAAAGGCGAGGATAGCACCGACACAGATGAAAACAGTTCCATCAGGGAGATTTGATTTCTGCATAAACGCCGCCCCGGAAGTGTCTGGGATCTTAGGGACAGGAACACCAACACCGGCGAGTGTGGGAGCTCCGGCAAGATTGAAGACACTTCTCGATCCTGTTTCGGTCTGCGTTGTTGACGCAGCCTCGGTAGTCGCGGAAGTAGCGGTTTGTGAGGTTTGCGTGTTCGCGGTCGTCTGTGTAGTCTGGTCATTAGCTTTTGTGGTTGTGGCCTCTGTGGGCCGTTCCGTAGGTGCTGTTGTTGCAGCGGTATTACTTGGTTGCGTCGTGGTTGTCCCGTCGGGTGCGTTGGGCGCGTTAGGTGCGTTAGGTGCGTTGTTGCCCTGAGCAAGTACAGTCGGAGCGGCTATGAGCAGCAGGCCTATGATGCCTGCCGAGAGACGCATGGCGGCGTGATGTCGTACAACGGGTACAGTGATGACCCGCAGCTGCGTAGAAGGGCTGGAAAAGGTTCAGGAGGCCCTGTTCGTGGATCGACAGAGTGTCGCAGTCAAAGCAGAGTTTCGGGAGGCAGTAGATGACGAAAGATGGACGGGTAACAGGTGGTATCGATTAGGAATGAGAAGCGCCGAAAACGAGTGACGGGGTGAGACGGAGGGCACAAGGAAGGGAGTGTGAGCACAGGTTGGTTGCAGAGTGGGTTGGAATACGGGGTTCGTGACCAGGGGCGGGCGGAGTCCACAGGACCCGCGGGGGCAATAGACCGTCTGAGCGCCTGATTCGCGTGATGTTTGAAGCGTAGCCGAGCGACTGAAATGCACACACGGTAGCAATGGGGGCGAGGGAGATTGACCGTAGTGTTTCACCCAGCCATGCAGCCGTGAATGCAAATGCAACGAGGGGTTTACAGTGTTTTGGCCAGGCCGCACGGTGTTGACGTTGCCTTGGGCTGGTTGCTGGCTCAGGGATGCGGACGAAAAACAACAGTATGCAGGGCGTGGTGACGGGCGACGCCAACGCCCAGGAACGGCGATTCTATTCTGGGCCCTGCGTGATTTGCCTGCCCGCGCCTTCCTGTACCGCGCTGTATAGGGCTTAGGGTAGGCGCGACTTGAATCGGTGCCATACTGTTTTTTCATTGGCTGTAGTTCCGAGGGTTCCGAGCCATTCCGACAGCCCCATGTCTTGGCATCAAAAAGTTAGGAATCGCGCTAGCCGCAGCCATCTGCGAGCACCACCACGACACCATACACACACCCTGCATCCCACCTTGACGGTACTGCTATCGGTGGCTGAAGACGACGATATACACAACACAAGAATTCACACACAAGCTGTGCGCACTTTGAGCCGTCCTCCCCCAGTACACATCCGCCCGGCGCAATCATGGGTGTCGCAAAGAAGACTCGCAAGTTTGCGACCACCAAAAGAATCGTCGGTATGCTCCGTCTGACCCCGCGAAAAGTAAAATAGACTTAATCTAATCCTTTCCAAGGTCAACGCGATGCAAGATTGTATGCGACAAGGCGCTCAGCCACTCCTCTCCCGCCACACATGCACTAACCACTGCGCTGCAGAAAGAAGAACCAGATGGCTGGTGAAATAGAAGCTAAGAAGAAGGAAGAAGAGAACAAGGCGAAGCGCGAAATGTACGTCTCTGCTTCCCCTCACGCGAGCATATCAGCGGGAAACCCTGCCGTCTCTACAAAGATTCTCTCGTAGACCCACAGCTTACACACTCACCTCTCAGCCCACAAGTCTCCTCCGCCCTCTTCTTCCAAGCCAACACCGCCCTCGGCCCTCCCTACTCCGTCCTCGTAGACACCAACTTTCTCTCCCACACCGTCCACGCCAAGCTCGAGCTGGACAAAGCCCTTATGGACCTGCTCTACGCCAAAGCCACACCCATCATCACCACGTGCGTCATGGCCGAGCTGGAAAAACTCGGTCCCAAATACCGCATTGCCCTGCGCATTGCCCGTGACGAGCGCTGGCAGCGTCTCAAGTGCGATCACAAGGGAACTTATGCCGATGACTGCATTGTCGATCGCGTGCAGAAGCATAGGATTTATCTTGTCGCGACGAACGATAGGGATCTCAAGAGGAGGATAAGGAAGATTCCTGGTGTACCAATTGTTAGTGTGGCAAAGGGCAAGTATGTTATCGAGAGGCTGCCCGATGTACCGGATAGCCATTGAGGTGTATGAACCAATTTTAAGATATGAGAGGATATGGGGAAAAAAGTTACTGAAGGAGACTTGAGGTTCTATGCATAGCGCAAGGCGTTCAGGAATGAATTTTTGAAACATCAGAAGGGTTGTATCTAAACAAATGTGATAGAAAGGAGGGTCGTTGAGCCTTGTCGAACAAGCTCTGCCTCCCTGCTGTACACTTACTTGTAGGGTGATTGACGAATACAATATTCATAGTCTACCACGTTGGTGCTACGAACTGAAGACAAAATGACACAAGAAGATTGAATATAGAAAAAACACTCCACATGAATGCAAGTAACCACATATGAAATATCAAAAGAGTGATATTCATTCAGGTAGAATATAGGCAATGTCAACCTTCCAACATTGAACTCCACCACCACGACCACCACCAACCTCAGCACGCAAATGTCTGTACTGCTTCATCTTCCACCCAGCAAGCCCAGTGCTTCCGTCTCGACCACAAAAAAAAGAGTCTATAGACCACCCGTCTTGTGCAAATGCAACACACTCGCTCAACAATGCCGAACGCTCCGAGCAGGGCGAGGATAAGAATTGCGGACAAAGGAGAAAGAAAGAAACCCATGTCCCAAGAGAGGATAAAAAAGGGGGGGACAAAAGAAAGAAAAGAAGAAGAAAAAGGTCATGCTTAATACACCGAGCAGCTCGTCTGCGCCCTAGTAAGAGCTTGAGTAAACATAGTCTGCATAGCCATGTAATGGAAGATAATACCCCCTAGCACAGCAACATGCCAGATGTTATGCGAGCAACCAATGTAATCAAACAGGCCTGGGAAGAAGCGCTCAGGCGTCTTGCTAGCGTACAGACAAGCGCCGGTAACGTACACGAGCAAACTCTTGGTGATGGGTGCGTAAAAGTACTGAGCCCACGCTACACCGCGCGTGTAGGCGAGTTGGCCAAAGGGCAGGAAACCCGTGAGGGCAAGGGAGCAGTAGAAGACGACGCGGAGCCAGGCCATGTCTGCGCGGTTGAAGGTTGGGTGCCAGGGGAGGATGACGCCGCCGACGCCGAGGAGCGCAGTGATGCACATGTAGGACCAGCGGGAGACGGGTTCGCAGTAGAATGCGGCGTATTCGGTCGTCATGATTGAGGCGGCCACGAGGAGAGAGATGCCCGTGTAGTCGACGCAGGCGAAGCGCTCGAGGAGTGTTTGGTGCGAGATGCTGTTCATCGTGTGCCAGATGGTGGAGCAAGCTAGGCACTTGCATGCTGCGAAGAAGAAGACTGCGGCTATGAAAATGTCGGCTTTTGTCGACATGCTGAAGTTGGCGCTTGAGGGGTAAAAGTAAAAGGCGATGGCGAGGACCATGACGAAACCGAGAAGATGCGTCCAGATGTTGATGAGTTCGTTGTGGAGTCCAAAAATGGATCGGACGCATGCCCATTTTCCTTCTTGGAAGCGGTAACCCTTGAGGATGTGGGGATTCACTCGCCATGGCTCGGGTAGGTCTTCGTATTGAATCAGGCCGTGGGCTTTGGCCTGGGCAAGCGCTCGTTGGACGGCGTGCTCTACTCGAAGTTCAATATTCTCGCGTGCTCGTCGCGCTTTGTCGAGACCACCGTCGACAACTCCCTTTGCGATTTCGATTCCTTCGTCCATTTTCCGCCGACCTTCCTCGTAAAATTCGTGCGCATACGTGCCAATGGATGCATCTCCTAGCGCAAATGCGCGCGCCTCGAATTCGGTCAGGTAGTTGTCCATGAGTACTATTCCTTCCAAAACCTTTTCTCCTAGTGTTTCTTTCCGCTCCAAAGCGTCCTTGTATCGTTCTTCCAGGGTCTCGACGAACACCGAAGCCTGTCGTCGGCCTGCTTCAATTGCGCCATCCGAGATCTTGGAGCATG